CATGTAGATCACATTTTTTATAAAACTTTGATCGAAGGTATCTCGATAACCATCCAAACAAATTCGATGAAATTTTTTAATTAAATTCTATAGATTTATAAAATTAAAACAAAAATTCATCGAATTTAGTTGGATAGTTAACGAAATATCCTTCATCAAAGTTATTAAAAGCTTTTTCAAAGTTTATATTTTGATATACATTGGAAATTTTCTTAAAACCTTTGATAGAAGATACTTCAACAACTATCTAATGAAATTCTATGGTTTTTTATTTGATTTCATGGATTCATGCGATTCAATAAAAAAAAATTGAATTTGGTTGGGTGGCTGTCGAGACATCTTTGATCAAAGTTTTAAGATAATTTCCAATGTACATCACAATATTAGCTGCAGGAAAATTTTTCATAGCTTTGATTGAAGGTATCCAAAAAATCACTCAACTAAATTTGATGATTTTTTTTATTTATGGAAGTTTGTAGAAAGGTGTGATCCTGTGATTTTGTGATGATAATAAAACCTTTTAATTTTAAATTCCCTATTGATTACATTTTTCAATCAATAACGTCTATATTTTTGAAATTTCTAAAATTCTCTAAAAATCGAAAACTCTACTAGAGTCGCCTGATTTCTTGTGATTTTACATGTCATCACGATTTGCAGATGTTACATCTTTTTAAAATTCAAATAAAGAATAATAAGTTAGTTGGTGATGTCGAAATACCTTCGACCGGAAGCTATGAAAAATTTTCATGACTAATATATTAATAGATGTTGGAGACTTTCTTAAACATTGATCAAAGATATCTCGACCACCACCCAACTAAATTCAATAAATTTTTTATTTGAACTCTATAGATCTATAAGGATGTATAATAATCAAAAAAAAAGTGGTGTGAAAATATCAGTTCCTTTAATTTAATGCCAATTAGTACTAAAGCTTGTTTTATTTTATAATTTCATTGTAATTTTACTATAGATCTTGTTGCAATATTGGTTCCTACAATAATTTCATTATTATGGCTACATGATAAAACTTTGCCAATTTGGACTATAACTATTGCTGCTTTTGTACTTTAAATTAAATTTTTATTTTTTTTTCGCGCTTTAGAAAATTATGGAACTTATTTTGCAATTATGATTGGAGTAGCAAAAAAAGTATTTTCTTTTCTTGTTATATTGGGCATTATGGTATTGGCCTTTGCACATTCTTTACACCTTTTATTAAGGCCTAATAGTAAATATTCTTATGATCAGCCAAGTTTTACTAATGATGCTAATAATCCTTGGAATCTTGTTTCGACATATAAATTTATTTCACTTAATGGTACTGTTGGAGAATGGTCACTTATTGAAACACCAGATGATAATACAAATTTATTTTCAGTGCTTAGTACTTCAATTTT